CTCCAGCCGGCGTTACTAGCTTCTTCTCTCTCTTTCATATCTCTCTCTTTGAAAAAGTTTCCCCTACTGTCCTTTTTCTGACTATGGTCAATCAATGATAGACAATTAGAGAGAATTTGGTTAAAATAACCAAGTGAAAAAGTAAAATTAGGAAAATGACTTTTTAATTTTAATTTTATTTATTTCCATGGAAGAAAAGGATGAGAGAGAAATAGATCCATAGCTCAAGAGCGAGAGCTGCTCTCGCCATGGCTTCGTTCGTAGCGACAAACACAGAGAGAGATTTAGATCTCAACAGCGCCTTCCCTTTACTTTCTCTCTCTAAAATTCTCCCTTTCTCTCTCTAGAACCGTCTCTCTGTGTGATTTTGGTGTTACTGGGAGTCTCTCAGAAATGGGGTGAGTTTTTCTTTAAAAACACGAGAGAAGAACCATAGAGAGAGGAGAGAGATTGTCATATTTTAAAAGAAAGTCATTTTGTAACTAAAAATTTTTGAAAAGTTATTTTACTAATAAAACTTTCCTATTGAGTTATTTTTACAAAGGCCTCACAATTAGACCATGAAAAAAAAAGAAAATGTACCTAAAAATTGCGGCCATATATCAAACAATAAAAAGCTATGGTTTTTTATGAAAATTGGCATATTTGCTGTTATCCCACATTTTTAACAAGCAAAAAAAGGAGTACTGTAAACATTCTTGCGTTTGGTTGATAGATTCGTACCATAATTTGAATAATGATTCGTGGTTCGCTACAGTATTTTCTCTCATAAAAAACACATATAAGTCAAAAATAGTTTTAAATCATGATTATAAATCCATAAACCAAACGTCCACATTCACCAAATTTAACTACCCAATAATGTGCATGTAATTGGGTAAAGAGGATTATAACTAACTTACAAATTATTTGTCAATTATATTTTAATATTTTTTGAATGAAGATTATATTTTAAAATTTTAATGCCATTTTTGACACTTGTAATCTCCAATGCAATATGATAATTAATGTGCTAATTGTAAATTTAGCATTTGAGTGCAAAAGATTTTCTAATGTAATGCTATTTGTTGCACTAAATTTTTCATATGTTATATTTTGTCGTAAATATCCCACCAAATATAATATATGAGAAATTTAACATTTAATTGTTATTGGTTGAAATGTATATTTTGTCATGTAATCATTACAATTTTTACATTTTCTAATTATTTTAAAATGAAAAGATTTTTATACAACTTTTAAAATTTAATGATTATGAGAAAAAATAGATCTAGCTTTTAAATAACATTATGCATTAAAATAAAAATAAAAATAACATACTATATTATATTTTTTAATGTTAAATATATAATTGGTATTAACATTCACATGCTCTAATGTTTTCTTTACTAAAATGTCATATGAAAATTTAGGATTCGACAGAACCGATACTTGTAAATGGCTGTCATATCTCAATGAGATTCTTTGAAGTGGTTGCGTACCTTATGGAACATATGCTTTTTTTGGCTACTGTAATAGAACATATGCGTAAAGAAACAATATATCGAATAACTGATTAACCGCGTGAGCAAAAAATATGGAGAATAACAAATCCCGAATAACACTATCAGCCCATGAGACAACTTTAAATAATATTTACTTTTTCATAATACTATGATTCTGCGAATATTTCAAAAAATTAGGGGAATTAGCTATATTAGTCCTTAAATTATGTACATTGTATTATTTTAAAGGACGTTTGGTTTATGTATTCAGAATTATGATTTAGAATCATTCTCGTTTTACATGTATTTTTTGTGAGAAAAAATACTGTAGAAAATCATGAATCATGATTCAGAATCAGGGACGAATATAGGAAACAAATGTCCCTTAAGTCTCTCAATTTTTAATTTTAATAAATGAGTCTTCGAATTTTTAATTTTTTGGAAACTTTGGTCCTTTGCACACTAAAATTAACAAATAACATCTAAAGTTTCTCGAAGATACTCAAGTCTGGGAAAAACAGTAACGGAAATTTTACAAAAATAATGACATCAAATTCAAAATAAACTAGTTTTTAATTACTTGTAATAATACTAAAGATAATATTTAGCATTTAATGTAATTATTTATGTAAAAATTCAGTTTTTATACATAAAGAACGTAATGATATCTATGAAATTTTAGAAATCTGTCAATTTTAGTATGCAGGAACTAGAGCAGTAAAAAATCAAAAGTTCAGGGCGTAATTTTACATAAATAAACTAGTTTTTAATAATTTGTAATAATACTAAAGATAATATTTAGCATACAATGTAATTATTTATGTAAAAATTTTAGTTTTGTGCATCAAGAGCGTGATGATTTCTATTGCCAATTTTAGTATGTAGGGACCAGAGCAATCAAATCAAAAGTTTAGGGATCAAAATGATAGACTGCACATAATTTAGGGACCAACTTATTATCCAAAAAATAATTATTTATTGTTACCCATAGGTACATATTGACCACAAAAATCCAATCTTTTTAAATTTATAATCTTTATTTATTTTGTCATATAAAGTTGCAATCTTTATTGTTTATTGTACACAAACCTTTTAAAATTTATAATCTTATTTCATTATCATAAAGTTGTAATCTTTATATTCCCATTCTTTGATTGTTATAGAGAATTTGATATTCAATTTTCACTGATCACAATTATAAAGTTGTGATATTTTGATAATAAATATATTTACATGTTATACATTACAATTGTTGATTTTTTGTAATTTTTAAAGTCTCGTTCATTTCACCGATTCGAGTTTTCAGTTTTAAGTTTCTATAGTAAAACGCTCTTAGAAAATATCACATCTAACTTTTTCTGCTACAGTGAAAAGCTCTAAGAAAATGTCACATCTCAACTTGAATTGAAAACTCGAATCCGTGAAGTGAATGAGGCACAAGTTTATTTTCGTATCATAAAATTGCAATCTTTATAGAATTGAAATTAAGAGTGATAGTGTTATTGTACATATGATTTTTGAGAATTTTGTATTAAAATTAAATTGTAGACACTTTTTCAAGTAGACACTAATATTTATACATCATTTATAAAATTTTCTGTAATTACATTATAAACGAACATAAATTATTATATTTCATAATTTATTTTGTCGATTTTAATATTAGAGACCAAGACTATAAAAAAAAAAATTCAAGGATTAATCTGTGAAAATGATTAGAAATCGGGATAGTTCAACCAAACATAAATAGACTAGAAAAAATAAAAAATAAAAAAACCAAATATCACATTTACTACTAGAGATGCAAGAACGGCCCGGCCCGGCCTAGCCCGTTCTCCTTAGGCCCACGGGGGCCGTGGGCCGGGCCGACCTAGCCCTCGAATTTTGTGGGCTGGGCCGGGCCGGCCCGTATAAGAATGACCTTTACCCAACCCACACCACATGCCAATTTTACGTAGGCTAGGCTGGGCCGTGCCGTGGGCCAGGATGGGCCGTGCCATGGGCCTTGAATGGGCTGGCACATTCAATGCCCATCTTGGCCCATCATGGGTTTAGATGGGCAAGCCATCTAAACATGTAATTTTTAATTTTAATTTTTGAATTTTTAAACAAGTTAACAAATATAAAAGTTTGAATAGTCAATGGAAATATGAAAATAGATATTTTATTTACGATTGCCTCATTAAATAAAAACCTTTCTAAGGAAAACCCAGTAGGATAAAATCTTGGTAAGAAAAAAAGAGTACAATCAGGATAATTATACATAAGATGTTTACAAAATTACTAAAAAAAGAAAAAAATATAAATATATTATGGGCCTAGATGGGCCGGGTTGAGCTGGCCCATCATGGGCCTAGACCGGGCAGCCCAGCCCGGCTTGGCCTATGATTTTTCATGGGTCGTGCCGGACCGGCCTATGTACTGATATATGTTGGCCCAACCTAGCCCACCAATATTTATGGGCCTAGTTGTGCCTTGAACAGTGACGAGTCGTGCCGGCCCGACCCGTCATTGTGTAAGGATGGGCCTGGGCCGGCCCATTGTTACGTCTCTATTTACTACCACTACAATTTTAATAGTCCAAAAAACATTCACTGTCTTTTTAAACTGTCTCAAAATTACACCTTTAAAATTTTAAAAATAGATGACATTCAAAATTACAAAAAAAAAAAAAAAAAAAAAGAAATTGAAATGCTACTTAGTTTAAAATGTTGTTTTTAACTCTTTTGAAAAACTCATGAGATTGTATTTGTAGACATTACCAAAAGATAATTATATTCGACTCCATCATAATAATGTGATGAGTTTAAATTCCTCACATGAGGTTTAAAAAAAAAAAGAAAGAAAAATATTCAACAGATGATTTTGGGAGAGATTTGAAAATACATAATATCTTTTGAATTATTAAAAATAAAGGGGTAAATATGATATTCTGCCAAGATTTTTTTTTCCTGGATTAATTACAAAAATCCCGCTGAATCGTACCTCTTGTAATACTTTGCTACTTGATCTCTAAAACGTAACATCCGTTCCTTTTGAACAATAAAATGTTAACAAAACACCCAATTCGTTAAGTTTTTAATTGTAATTTACATTTAATTTACTATTTTGAGGGTTTTTAGTAATTCTATGATTTACAATTTGATTAGAATTTAAACTAAGTTAAATATTCCAAAAAAAAACTTTTTAAATTTTTTATTCTATTAAAAGGATTCATAAAATTTTTAACTTACATTTAATTAATAATAGATGTATCTTAATTAAAAGTTTAAATTTAAATTAGTTTTAGACTCAAACTAAATTTTAAATCATAAAACTATTAAGTACCCCAAATAATAAATAAAATATGAATTTCTATTAAAAAAATTAACGGAGGGAACTTTTTGTTAATATTTTATTATTCAGAGTAAAAAATGTTATGTTTTAATGATTTGGGGGCAAAGTGTAATAATGAATATAGTTCAGGATAAATTTTTATAATTAATCATTTTTCCCCCTAAAATAAACAAATAAACTTAAGACTTGGGTTGTGAAGTGTGATGTTGATCTGATGACAGCTTGAGCCTGAAGGTTCAGTATAAATAAGATAGGGACTCCTACACCCAACGATGGTCGCCATTGTTGTGTCCTTGGCTTCTACGCTACTTTCAGTCGCTTCTTCTGCTTCACCTTCTTCTTCCACCAGCTTTTTGACGAAATTACGTTCTGCCCCTAGTTTTCGACTTTCTTTTGCAGTTACGCCCTTGGGTTACCGGAGAGGCAGGCTCATGGCTCACACCATTGCGAAGGCCACTCTCGGCCTCACTCAGCCCAACGCCATTGAACTCCCAAAGGTCCTTTCTTTCTCTCTCTAGGCTCAATAACCCACCTTTTCTGTCTCGCTTAAATTGAAGTTTTTCGGAGGTTTTTTTTGGGTTTTGATTTACTATTATGTTTGGTTTATGTTATGATCGTTAAGTAATAATCAAGTTTTGTTCTTTGAAAGTTTAGCGTTTTAATGGGATCTTAGTTTTATTCTGAACCTGTGATAAATGGTTGATGAATGATTTTTTTATTTGTTTTTATAATTTATTTTTTATATTTTGACGGAGTTGATTAATGATTTTTGATAACTGGGTTTCGAAATAAATATTTTTTGCTAACTGGGCGAAAAAAGATTTTTGATAACTGGGTTTGAAAATAAGGATTTTTCTTTTGTCTAACTGTTTTCCATTTTTTAAACTGGAGAATTTTGTTGCTGATTATGGGGTTCAATTCCGTGAGAATTAGTTCTGTTGGATATGTTTTTAGTAGATTACTGATTATGTTTGCCAAGTGTTTGTGAAAATGCCTGAAGATCTGTTCTTTAGATATGTTTTAGTAGATCACTGAATTTGTATGCTAACTGTTTGTGAAAACGCGTGAAGATCTCTTTTGCTGCTAAGGAGATTGATGTAACGGAGTGGAAAGGTGACATACTCGCCGTGGGAGTGACAGAGAAAGACTTGACGAAAGATGAGAATTCAAAGTTTGAGAATCCCATATTGAAAAAGCTAGATTCCCATTTGGGGGGTCTCTTGGCTGAAGCCTCCTCTGAGGAGGACTTCACCGGAAAGACAGGTCAATCCACGGTTCTGAGGCTTCCCGGTCTAGGATCGAAGAGGGTCGGTTTGATTGGACTTGGACAGTCTGCTTCAAGTACAGCAGATTTCCGTGGTCTCGGCGAGGCTGTGGCTGCAGCGGCCAAAGCTGCTCAATCAGCTGAAGTTGCTATTGTGCTTGCCTCCTCTGAGGGCCTTTCTGTGGAATCAAAGCTTAGTACAGCTTCGGCGATCGTCTCTGGTATTTGGTGAAGCATTTCTGTTCTAGATTGGCGTTTGGTTTTTGATATTTGGTGTTTTAACTTTGTGGAATGGGTTATGTTGTAGGAACTGTATTGGGGACACATGATGATAATAGGTACCGATCAGAGTCGAAGAAACCTACTATTAAATCTGTGGACATTCTTGGTCTTGGAACCGGACCCGAAGTAGAGAAGAAGCTCAAGTATGCGGAAGATCTTTCTTCTGGAATACTTTTTGGGAAAGAGCTAGTGAATTCACCTGCCAATGTGCTTACGCCTGGTTCGTATGAGTTTCTGAATTTGCCTTTTGTCTTTCATATATTTGTTTGGTACTTTATAAGTTGATTTATTGACTAGTATACTATATGGGTTCACTTACATTTTACATGGTCCATGCCGGTTCTACCTTCACATAGTCACAATTTGGACTGATGATTTGTATTGTTCATTTTACGATGATTACTATACTTAGCGGTGCTCGCTGAAGAGGCCTCAAAGATTGCTGCTACCTACAGCGATGTTCTTTCGGCAAAAATATTGGATGTAGAGCAGTGCAAAGAATTGAAGATGGGTTCCTACTTGGGTGTTGCTGCTGCCTCGGCAAATCCTCCACGTTTCATCCATTTGACTTACAAACCCCCAAGTGGTGATGTTAAGACCAAGTTGGCATTAGTTGGAAAGGGATTGACTTTTGACAGGTAAATCCAGGGGTTTATTAATACTTTATTTTCTCTTCTATACCATTTGAAAAACAAAGTTGAAAAAAATAGAGAAAAAAAGGAAGGTAAAGAATTCTGTGGAAAGTTGTTTTAACACTTGTGTTTTCTTCAGTGGTGGCTACAACATCAAGACAGGACCCGGCTGCTCCATTGAGCTCATGAAATTTGACATGGGTGGTTCGGCAGTAGTTTTAGGTGCAGCGAAAGCTATTGGTCAAATCAAACCCGCTGGTGTAGAGGTGAGATTGTGTGTTTATCGTCATCAGTGGAAGCATTAGCTTCATGGATAATTGACATTTGTAGTTGTCTGTCCTTGATATATTTGAGCAAATTGAATTTCGTGATATATGCATTTTGTTTCAACAAAGCTCTCTTCTATGTGTAGGTTCATTTCATTGTTGCGGCTTGTGAGAATATGATAAGTGGAACAGGCATGAGACCTGGGGACATTGTGACAGCATCAAATGGAAAGACCATTGAGGTAGGGATTCTTTGGCTTTCAGTAAATCTGCCATTGAATAGAGCCTTCTCATTGACTTACTGGGTTGTAAATAATGATTGGATTTTTAACGAGTTTCTGTATTTCTGATGTTTTATGTAAGATTGAGTTTTTGCTTTCGAAATAAATAGGAATATTTTTTATTTTGTTCAGTTAGGCCGTTATAGACAATTGGGCGTACATGAGTACATAAGGGATAACACTTGGATGATTATCTGTTTGCTTTGTAATTACATGTATAGATGAGAGTTTTTTTTATGGCTCCAAAAGTCATGTGGAGCATAATAATCTACTTGTATGTTTAAATATTCTTTGTCGTGAATTATCTCAGGTCAACAACACTGATGCTGAGGGCAGACTAACTCTGGCAGATGCTTTGGTATATGCTTGTAACCAAGGTGCTGAGAAGGTATTGAAGCCGTGCTCATTGAGAGCCCTCAAAATGAAGTTTTCATTGTGAAATATTTTTCTTTTTGGAATGTGGTAACTTTGTTTTTATTGTGATTTTTTTTTCTTTGGAAAGTGGTACCTTTCATTATACACTAATCAGAACTTATGTTTTATTAAGAATTACATCCATGATTTTCTCTATTGTGCTTGTTTAATGTCACTAACTCAAAAATAAAGAAACGATAGGGAATATAATTTGGCTTCCATGTAATTTTTCTTTCATTATCAAATTTTCCAACTTGCATTGACGACAATAGAAGTTGGATTTCTTGTATTTTATCATTTCGCATTGAGTTGTTAGGTAATTTGAGTTGCATTATGCCTTATTTCTTGAATAGTAAATGGATAGTGTATTCTATTCAAAACTTGTCCTTTTTTTTTGGTTTAAATGAACACACTGTTTCAGAAGTGTATTTTTGTAAGGTGTATTTCTCTTCTTGCATATAAGAGTGTACCAATCTTGTTGCATCTTGAACGCGAGTGTTATAGCTGTTTTAACTCCTAATAAAATGTTTTACAGATTGTTGATCTGGCCACCTTGACTGGTGCTTGTGTAGTTGCTCTTGGACCTTCAATTGCAGGTACAGCCTATTCTTGCAATAATGTTTATTATTAGGGTGCACTTATGATCCTTTCAATTTTGCAAGTGATGGATATGGTGTAGTAGTAATGTTATATTATTAGTATATTGTTCAAGTTTTGCATATGGCTTTGGAAACAAGGTTTATCATCTTATCTTTTGCGTTTTTATCTGATATTAGTACTGGGTTTTCTTTGCATCATTCAAAATCAGCCATAGACTTTCTGAACTCTTCTATAATTCTACTCCTGATTACTGAATCTTTTATTTGATGATAACCTTCTGTTTAGGTGTGTTTTCACCGAGTGATGACCTGGCCAATGAGGTACTTGCAGCTTCAGAGTCCGGTGGGGAGAAAATTTGGAGGCTGCCATTGGAGGAGAGTTATTGGGAATCGATGAAATCTGGGATCGCTGATATGGTCAACACAGGCGGTCGTCAAGGTGGTGCTATCACTGCAGCTCTCTTCTTGAAACAGGTGATACAAATAGATATACCCATCATCTCCTTTTCATGTTAAACATGTGCAATGCAAGATACTGATAGGTTTAAGAGAAGAATCAATTGAGATTAGGGCTAAATTAGGGCTTATTATTATTAATCAAATCAATTGAAAAACAAATTTTGACTTAAAATTCGAGAGGTAGGTCAATCTCTCATAAACTCCTAACTATTCCTAATAACTTCACAAAACTCAGCATAAAGCCTAATTAACTTCCTAATACCCTCTTTATACTAAAGCCCTAAATCCATAAAATACCAAAAGACTACTCTGCCCCCCTAATCTTACGCCTAACATAAGTCTGTAAGGGCTTGGGCTTAACATTACTCCCCTCCCAATGAGACACCTTGTCCTCAAGGTGGAACTAAGGAAACTGCTCCTGAATCAAGTCAAACGGTTCCCATGTCGCTTCATAGTCTGGCAAATCCTTCCATCTAATTAGCACCTCTTTATCGCCCGATTGTCTTGACCGCCCTTGGCGCACTCCTTCTATAGTAGCTGTTTCCAACACAACCTCCATATCTTCAGTCAACGTAGGCGGTAGGAAAGGAGAGGGTGTATGGTCTCCAATATCCCGTCTCAATTGAGACACATGAAACACCGGATGAATTGCCGAGGAGGGTGGCAACCTCAAATGATAAGCCACCTCGCCAATCCTTTCTATAATCTCACAAGGCCCAAAATATCGAGGAGAGAGCTTCTCATTCCTCCGCTGCGCCGAAGTCCTCTGTCGATATGGTCGAATCTTCAAGTATACCCGGTCCCCCACCGCAAACTGTACATCCCTCCTATGACCATCCGCCTGCTTCTTCATAATATGCTGAGCCTTAGACAAATGCCTCTGCAACTCTTCCAACATTCTATCCCTTTCTTCCAAGTACTGATCCACCTGCGACACAGGTGTCGTGCTATGCCCATTATGCACCAAATGCGGCGGGTCCCGTCCATATAAGATCTTAAAAGGAGTGGTATGTGAAGCAGTATGGTAAGAGGTATTGTACCAATATTCAGCCCACGCCAACCACTTTGTCCACTGCTTGGGCGTATCTGACACAAAACACTGCGGATAAGTCTCCACACTACGATTGACTACCTCAGTCTGCCCGTCGGTCTGCGGATGATAAGCCGTGCTCTTTTTCAACACCGTCCCCTGCATCTTAAACAACTCTCTCCAAAAATGGCTCAAAAAGACCTTATCCCGGTCCGTCACTATCGACCCCGGAATCCTGTGTAAATGCACCACCTCTCGCATAAAGGCCGCCGCCACTGTTATCGCGGTATAAGGGTGTCGCAAGGGTATGAAGTGAGCATACTTACTCAGTCGATCAACCACCACCAAAATCACCGTAAACCCATCTGACCGAGGCAACCCCTCAATGAAATCCATCGTCACCTCCTCCCAAACCTTATCCGATAGCGATAAAGGTTGCAGTAACCCTCCTGGCACCATTGCCTAGTATTTGTGATGCTGACACACATCGCACCTAGCTACCATGTCCTCCACATCCTTTTTCATTCCCACCCAATACAACTACGCTGCTAAGCGCCGGTAAGTCTTAAGAACCCCGGAGTGTCCCCCAACCGCACTCCCATGAAACTCCTGCAGTAACCTCGGTATATGGGGCGATGTTCTCGGCAAAACGAGACGCCCCTAGTATAACAATCGCTGCCCCTCCAAAGAATAGCCCGGATATCCCGTCTCCCTTCGCGCTAACGCAGTCCGGATCTTCTCTAACCCCGCGTCTGCCTCAATATCTCGCAGCAGTGCCTCCCAATCCATCACCAACGGCACCGATAACGCTACTCCTCCACCCGTCTCGACAAGGCATCCGCTGCCTTATTCTCCAACCCCGGCCGATACTGTATCTTAAAGTCATACCCCAACAGCTTAGACAGCCAACGCTGGTGTTCCTCAGTCACCAGCCGTTGCTCCAACAGAAACTTGAGACTCCGCCGATCCGTTCGGATAATGAATCGTCGCCCCAATAAATATGGCCTCCACTTCTGTATGGCTAACACAATCGCCATGAGTTCGCGCTCATAAACTGACTTGAGCCGTGCCCGTTAGGGTAACACCTGGTTGAAAAAAATGATTGGTCGCTGGTTCTGCATGAGGACTGCCCCTAGCCCGTACCCCGAAGCATCCGTCTCAATGATAATAGTTTGGCTAAAGTCCGGTAAAGCCAACACTGGCACACTGGTCATGGCCCGTTTTAGCTTCTCGAAAGCCTGAGTCGCCGCTTCCCCCCACTGGAAGCTGTCCTTCTTCAACTGTTCCGTCAGGGGCCACGCTATGGTGTTATACCCCTTCACAAACTTCCGATAGTACCCAGTGAGCCCCAAAATCCCCTCAACTCTTTCAGCGTCTTAGGTAGTGGCCACTCCAGCATTGCCGCCACCTTAGACTGGTTTGCTGAAACCCCTCAGCTGACACAACATGCCCCAAATACGCCACCCTCGCCTGAGCAAACAAACACTTCTTCCGATTGGCAAACAACTGATGTTTCTGTAACTCAGCCAACACTATCTCTAAATGGCTCACATGATTCTCCAGAGAACTACTGTAGACTAAGATGTCATCAAAGAAAACCAAGACAAACTTCCGTAGATAAGGTTGAAATACTTTATTCATCAATGACTGAAAAGTGGCCGGAGCATTCGTGAGGCCAAACGGCATGACCAGGAATTCGTAATGTCTCTCATGAGTTCGAAATGCAGTCTTATGAACATCCTCTGGCTGCATCCGAATCTGGTGATATCCCGACTTCAAGTCAATCTTTGTGAACACCGCTGCTCCATGCAACTCGTCCAACAACTCATCGATCACTGGAATAGGAAACTTATCCAGCACCGTCTCCTTGTTCAGGGCTCGATAGTCGATGCAAAATCTCCAACTCCCATCTTTTTTCTTCACCAACAAGATCGGGCTCGAAAACGGACTAACGCTCGGTTGTATGATCCCTGCCTCCAACATCTCCTTAACCAGCCTCTCAATCTCATCCTTCTGTATCTGGGGATAGCGATATGGGCGGACACTAATGGGTGAGGCCCCTTCCTTAAGCACGATCGCGTGCTCGTGATCCCGCTGTGGGGGTAGCCCTTCCGGCATCCGAAAAACCCCTTCAAAGCGCCTCAACAGCTGTTGAATCTGCTTTGGTATCGTCTTGTTTGTCTCTCTTTGCTCCCCTTTGAGGTTATGCAACTTAATCAAAAATCTACGCCCTGCGTCCTGAATCGCCCTCACCATAGTCTTGAGCGACACTAGAGTTTTGCATAGACTCGGGTCGCCCCGCAGAACCACTGCCTGATCCCCCAACTGAACCTCCATTGTCAACAACTTCCAATTTACCCTCATCTCTCCCAATGCCTGTAACCACTTCATCCCCAAGATGACATTTGTACTTCCTAAATCCAGGGGAAGGAAATCCTCCAACACCTTAACTCCCTGTATTCTCAAGATCAATCCTCTACATATTCCCCTACTCGTCTCCACCAACCCAGTACCCATGACCACCCCAAAACTGCCCGTGTCTGTCAAATGGAGGCCCACTCTGTCTACTACTCGATTGGAGATAAAATTGTGGGTCGCTCCACTGTCCACCAACACCACCACATCCCGTTCGACGATACTCCCCCTTAACTTCATGGTGTGGTTCGGTGTAAACCCACCACCGAATTAAATGAAACTTCGGCCACGTCAAGGTGAAGATGTTCCTCCTCCAATATCTCTTCTTCCTCGGCTTCTTCCCCGCCTTCCTCGTCATCACACATAGTCAGGACGTGTAGTGTTCGGTCCTTACATCGGTGCCTGGGGGAAAATTTCTCATTGCATCGAAAGCACAACCCCTTCGCCCTCTTGTTCTGAATCTCTGTCTTAGTGAGGCGTTTGAAAGTCGCTCCCGGACGTGCCCCACTAACCCGATCCTTTTGGGGCTCTCTCTGAAATCCCAACGTCTGAGTTTTCTGTCCTCCCTGTGGTGTGTTGTTTCGATATGAAGAATCAACTGAATTGCTCCTATTGACTCGCGCCGTTGCATTCTTATCCTCAATCAACTGTGCCAACTCCAACGTCTTCCCTAACCCCCTCGGTCTCAGCAAACGCAGCGCCGCTCAGATCTCCGGCATCAGTCCCTTCATAAAATTTCTCTCCAACACCACTTTTGAGATCCCCCCTAAACGACCTGATAGCAGCTCAAATTTCTCTCTATACTCCATGACCGTCCTATCCTGGGTTAGGGCAAAAAACTGTTCGCGTAGATCTCCCTCTTGAGTGGCTCGAAACCTCTCCAACAACCGGTCCTTAAATTCACCCCACGACCTCAATGGTTGTCATTGTTCTCGCCATTGAAACCACGCAAGGGCCTTTCCCTCCAAACATAAAGCCACCGCCATCAGTTTTTCCCTCTTTGAGAGTCCATTGATGGCGAAATAGCGCTCTACCCTATACACCCATCCATATGCATCCTTGCATTCGAAAATGGGCATTTTCAGCTTCCTTACCCTAGAATCTGCCCCAAATTGAGTCTGCCCCGCCCAATTTCGCGCCATTGGAGGCCTCCAACCTCCCGATTCTCCTCCACTCTCCATAAATCCGGAAGGCCTAGCCCCAAATCCTCCTTGCCCAGCCCCAAATTGAGCTGATAACCCTTGCCCATCCCCAAATTGAGCTGATAACCCTTGTCCAGCCGCAATCCCGTCATACCCGCTTCCTCTCTCGCCGGAAACCCCTCGTCCTAGCCGTACGCCCCCAAATCCGCCTTGCCCAGGCCCGAATCTGCCCTGCCCAGGTCCGGATCCGCCCTGCCCAGGCCCGAAATCCCCCCAAAACGGCGCTGAGACGCCATGCCCAGCCACCCCCGGCCCTGGCGCACTGCAAGGCGGCGCTGAAATGCCGGACCTTGTCGCCCATAGCCCTAGGTCGCCTCCTCCAGCAGCGAAACCCTCTGATCCGCCGCCCCCAGCCGCGACCGAGCCTCCCCCGCCGCACCCAACGCCGAGGAAAGCCCCCTCAAGTTGCGCGTTCCTTGGGCCGTCCTTTGCGCCAGCAGTTCTGTCGCGGGCCGTTGCCTCTGGCCGCGCGAAACTGGCGGTTTCCGGCCCCCCTCCCCCTGCGCCGTTGCCGACCACGGGTTCCGTACCGCCGGACCCCTCTCCCGCTGCGCCGCCGCTCGTCGCTGCTGCCGGTGGTGGGTTGAGGTGGAGCTCCGTTAATTTCAGCAACATGGCTTCAAGGGACGAAAATTGTTGTTGGACGGTGTTAAATCGCTCGTCAATGGTAGTCTTGAGCAATCTAACTTCCGCTTCTAATTTCTCTTCAAGCGCGTCCACCTTCCTCGCTGCCATTGTCCCAGGATTTTGCTCTGATACCAATTTGATAGGTTTTATAGAAGAATAAGTTGAGATTAGGGCTGAATTAGGTCTTATTATTATTAATCAAATCAATTGAAAAATAAATCCGGACCTACAATTCGAGAGGTAGGTCAATCTCTCCTATACTCCTAACTATTCCTAATAACTTCACAAAACTCAACATAAGCCTAATTAACTTCCTAATACCCTCTTTATACTAAAGCCCTAAATCCATAAAATACCAAAAGACTACTCTGCCCCCTAATCTTACGCCTAACATAAGTCTGTAAGGGCTTGGGCTTAACAGATACCATGATGTGAATGATCAGTTATAGGATTGATGGAAATGAAAGCATTGGTCTTTCCAATATCAAGTCCCACAGAACCTGAATGGCCCGCGTTTGTTTGAGGTCTTTTCATTTTTATGGTTTGGAAAACATTAGAACAGATTGGGATGAAAATAATGCGTTTACTAGCCTCTTTTTAGAGTTTCTGAACCAACCACTTTTGACATACAAAATCTGCAAACACAGAAATAGATCACGATTCACGAACCAAAAGGGTCCTAACTAATCTTCTTCATAACTTAAGTTACTTCTTCTTTGCTTCCTAATGGTTCCCACACGGAATTCTGAAAATTTCGACTCCGCTTGTTGCAGTTTGTTGATGAAAAGGTTCAGTGGATGCACATTGACATGGCTGGCCCCGTCTGGAATGACAAGAAACGCTCTGCTACTGGATTCGGTATTTCTACTCTGGTGGAGTGGGTTGTGAAGAACTCCTCTTAGACGTGTTTATTTTATTTGTCACTAGAGAGCAAGGCCAAAGTTAGTTGGGGCAGAAACAGAGTAGATCCTGATGGGATTCTTTGGTATTTAGTTAAGTTATGACGTTGGTTTCTGTCGCAAAGTGCTGAGCCTGGGAATTGGCCTTTTTATTTTTCAGTACTCCTTGTCTTTGGTCCTTGTAATAATTTCTTTTCCTGTTTTCAAAAAGGGATAAAAAAAAAAAAACCCCAAGAATTAGAACATCTTTTGCATTTTTAAATGTCTGCAGAAATGAGAGAATTGGAAAATAAATATATTGTGTGTTTTACATTGGTCTGTTCGTCTATTCTTGAACTTCGGTTAACTCTTCCGGAGCTTCTCTGGTAGGATTTATTCGATTTAGGATAAATTTTGTTTTTGTTCCCTGAATATTAATTTATTTGTCACTTTACCCCTTAAACTTTGAGAATTAGTCAATGCACCTTTGAATTTTAAAACGTTATTAATTTAATCTCTTCTGTTAAGTTTATAAACTTATTTGATAATGTGGCTGGATTATTTCCATAAATGCCTCGTGAAATATGTATTTTATTTAAAAATGCCTCTTAATTTATGAAATCATATCATAATGACCTTTAATTTATAAAAAAAACCCTTTATTGATTCCATTAAAAATTAATTACACATTAAGAGCCCGTTTGATTCGTGGATTAGAACTATGAGATTAAAACTATTTTTGATTTACGTGTGTTTTTTATAAGAAAAAAATACTGTAGTGAACGATAAACTATGATTCGAATCAGAGAACGAATCTTCTAACTAAACGGGCTCTAAATTCTAATGAAAACAATGGAAGTGATAAAATATTAAAAATAATAAAAATATATAAAACACTATAAAGAAATTCAAAAATTAAATAAATCAAATATTTTTTAAAAGATTAAAAAACCCAAAAGTAAAGAGGAATTTTTTTTTTCAAATACCTTTGTCAATATTTATCTAATTTTGAAAAATTTTCCTCTTTTCTTGTTTTGATTTTTGAAAAAAATTGATTTATTTAATTTTTCAATTTTTAAATTTAAGTGTTTCATATTATTTTTTAAATATTTAATGACTTTTCTTGATTTAATTTGAATTTAATATGTTTAATTAATTTTAATGGCATGTCACATTAGTTTATTATGTTTTCTATAGATTAGTGGGCATTTAGATATGTTTTTAATAGATTAAGGGTATTTTTAAATATGACACATACTTCAGGAGACATTTATAGAAATAATCTATTAAACTACCTCTTTACTAATTGTCACGTCATCAAATCCGTCAATAAAACTAATAGAAATGGTAAGGTTAACAACGTTTCAAAATTTAAGGGGTGTGTGCGTACCAATTTTCAAAGTTTGAAGAGTAAAGTGATAAAGAAATCAAAGTTTAAGGAGTAAAAATAAAACTTATCATTCTTTTTAGCTATAGGTAGTTATTGCAGTTTCAACCATTAGATTGAGATTGAGATTTTAACGTTTTGATTTGTGAGTGTCAATATTAAATTTTTAATGTATTGTGACACATAATTACTATAATCACATATCTGATCATTAAAAATTCTAATCTAAGAGTTAAAAATAATAGTAAGTTAGGCCCTGTTAATTTCACTGATTCGAGTTTAGAATTCGAGTTTTGTTACAGTAAAAAGCTCTCAAAATCAGTCACATTTAATTTTTTTACTACAGTAAAAAACTCTCATATAAAATTACATCTCAATTTAAATTAAAAATTTGAATCAACGAACGGGCCTTAATAATAATAATAGCAAGTACCGTTAGTTAAAAAGCATAGATTCTATCGGAGAAATTTATTTTATGTAAATATGTTATTTGCGTATATTTTAGATAGGCCAGTGTTTTAGCCTGGGCCTTCCTGTAGGCGGTCTTTGAGGTGATTGGTGGTTGATAACAGTTGAATCATATTCTAGACTTTTTTAGGAGGTGATTTTTCTTTGTTTTGTGTGGTTTCTTGGAATGTGACGACACGTGATCAGGCAAGAATTTTCCCACTCATTTGTTCTTTATTTATTTATATAATTGAGAAATAAGAATGATGATTTGGCGGGTCTTGCATATTGTGTGTGTATATGTATGGAGAAAAGTAAATATCAATTCCCGTTCTTTCGAGAATTTCTCTATTAAAGAGATAAAATATCAAATTATTTGCAAGTCAATAATTATTTATACGTGTTATTTCTATTAATAATTATTAAAACAACGGAATTGATATTTAAATTTAAAAAAATTTTAAAACATTATTAATACATGTCATTTTCATTTAAAAAAGAACAGTATTATTCGCACTGTTAATATAACGAGATAATAAATGAGTGTATTACGCATAATGAAATTATGTAGAATAGAGACAAATATAATATAAATTTATGATAATTTTTGTTAAGTATAAAAATTCTAATTGAGTTTATCGATAATCGCAGAAATAAGTGTATATGATATCAAAATAAAGCCGACAGTGGCAAAGAAAAGTCAAGTGGTGGCGGATTTCATATCAGAATGTGCATCTTTAGGGGAACAGGAGATCGAGAGCTAAGAAGACTCTAAAGAAAAGGAAAATTCCGAATGGATATTAGAGATGGACGGAGCAAGCAACCAATAAGGGGCAGGAGTTGGGATAGTCTTGAGGAATGGGGAGTTGAAATTAGAGTATGCAGTAAAACTGAATTTTGATGCAACCAACAACGCCACAGAATATGAAGCTCTCGTAATAAGGTTGGGCTTAGCAAAGCAACTCCAAATAAAAGAGATCAAGATCCTGAGTGACTCTCAACTATTGGTAAATCAAGTCCAGGGAGTTTATGATGTAAAAAGATGAAAATATTGGCAAATACTTCATGAAAGTTAAAGAATTGACAGGAAAATTTGAAAAAAAAAAGGAATATAGAATAGATTCCAAGGGATCAAAATCAAGGGGCTGATGAGCTAGCAAAAGCAGTTGCGTTGGCTGAAGAAAACCAAGCCGTCCGAGTGGTACCTATTCTGGAGATTGACAAGCTGAGTTGGAAAGAAGCACAAGAAGATAAGGTTTCAAAGGAAATGCAAGTCCAAATGATAGAACAAGAGAAAAGCTGGAAAACCCCTATCATACAATATTTAGAAAATGAAAAATTGCCGGATGATCAAAAGGAAGCAAGAAAAATAAAGATCCGAGCGGCAAGGTTCATAATGATAAATTGGGAAATGTACAGAAGGTCATTTACTGGGCCCTACCAAAAGTGCCTAACACCGAAGCAGGGCAATAGGTGCTTTTGTAAAATCCATGAAAGTATGTGTGGCAACCATTCACCATTCTGGATGAAGAAGTTTGCTTTACGAGGTCATGACACGGGTAATTCTGGCCGAGAATGGCACAATATTCAAAAGATTACGTCAAAAAGTGTCCATATTTATCTTCTGCCAGAAAAAGTTTATTATGGGGCAAGTGCTTGGCCATTTTGCATTGGGGAATTGATATAGTGAGAATACTGCCAATCGCCCAAGGACAAAAGTGATATGCATTAGTGGTTATAGATTATTTTATTAAAAGATTATTTAGTTAGGGAATTCGTACTCCGATTTGAATCATAGTTCATAATTTGTTACAGTATTTTCTCTCATAATAAATACACGTAAATCAAAAATAATTCTAATCTTATGATTCTAATCCATGAACCAAACGTCTCCTAAATAGTTGGAGGAAGAAGCATATTCATGTTAAAGTATTAAATTATTGTTAGTCAACTTTTTAACAATTTAAATTTTTAAAATAAATTGGTAAATTAATATGATATTAGAGTGAAAAGTTCTGAGTTTAAACTCTTATAATTACATTTTTTATCTTCATTTAAATTGTTATAATGTGTTGAGTCTTTATTATATCTTAGACTTAAATATTCACATGTTGAGCTTTCTAATTAATTTACCCACGTAATTGTTTATTGTCCAGCTCATATGTGAGAGGAAGCGTTAAAATATTAAACTATTATTAACCTACCTCTTAACAACTTAAACTTTTAAGATAGATTAGTAAACTAATAATTTAAAGATTGGACAAGCAGATGTAATAAAATTTATCTAGAAAAATATTATTTGTAGATTTGGACTCCTACACAAAATCACAGCTGACAATGGAACTCAGTTCATAGGGACTAAGACGAGGAAGTTTTGTGAGCAACATGGGATCAAATTAAGTTTTACGTCAAGAATATATCTACAGGGAAACCGAGAGGTAGAGTCCACAAACAAAACAATCTTCGAATGTATAAAAAAAAACTGAGAGGAGAAGAAAAGTGCATTGGCGTCAGAACTTCCAGATCAACCAATGGAACTCCTTTTGCAATTCCAACGGAAATTGGATTTCCGACCTTAAGATCTAAAGTTGCGAGGTCAAAAGAAACTGAGGAACTACTGAAAGAAAATCTAGATCTTGCGGAAGAAAGAAAGTAGAAAGCAGCAAGGAAATGAAAGGCAAGTGAGAGAAAAAGAGAAAAGAATGAGAGAGTATGGATGCAATAGTTTTTCCATGATTGGAAAATTTTTCTGTGGATGATGAAAGATAAAGCAAAGAAAAAGCTTCTTAAAAGACAAAGGAGAGAGTGAGATAATGAGACATGAGAAGAAGAGAGACATACCCCTTCTTATAGAGGACCTGGAAGGAGGTAAGGGAAGTTTTGAAATTCGAATCGAAAACAAAGCAAGAAAAAGATAAGGTCAAATTTTAAAAGAAAAAATCCAAAAAATGGAACTGAAAAGGGCTGTGAGAGATAGACAGAATCAAACGATTTAATATGAGAAGATTATGAGAATCCTGGCATTTATGAAAAGATTGATAGTACGTTTGAATTTTTCCTCAAGGAATTCGAGAGGCTTGAAGAAGAAGCCCTCAATAAAAGGACCGAGCAAGATAGCCCAAATGGGAATGACCGAATGAGATTATTGTTAGGGAGTTCAAACAAAAATTCCTAGCAAGAGAAACGGAAAGAATTAACCCGAATGAGAATTGACCGAACGGAAAAATCTCATTAGGAAAATTGAATAAATTCCTAACAAGAGAGACCAGAAGAAGTAGCCGAATGGGGACCGAACGGAAAAAATTACTAAGGAGAGAGGCCGAAAGAACTAGCCCGAATGGGAATTGACCGAACGGAAAAATCTCATTAGGAAGATTGAATAAATTCCTAACGAGAGAGACTAGAAGAATTAGCCCGAATGGGGACCGACCGAATTGAAAAATCTCATTAGGAAAATGGAATAAATTCCTAATGAGAAAATCCAAAATAAAGAAAACCCTGTCAGGATTTTAAGCTCAAAAGAAGTGATAAACCAGCAAGAATTTAATAAGAATCTGACTAATAATTTCTTTATTGAATATTAATCAGTTTAATACATTGTGAGCTCCAGCGGAGCTCCCAATCGGCAAGAATGGAAAAAATACAGAAAAATAAAGATAGAGAGGAATTTTCGAGGAATCCCACGACCTCTCAAGCTAACAGCTAAAAACACCCGAATTCTCTATAAATCTCATGCCCCTCCCTAGCAACTAAACTCCCTATTTATACTATCCTCAAAACTATTGAAAAAGACTTCTAAATATTAAGTTCCTAACATTACTCTCGCCCCAAAGAATCACCTTGTCCTCAAGGTGAAAATCAAGAAATAAAATTTAAAAATAACATCTAAATGATTGAGAACAAAAGGCTTTGTTAGTTCCTCGATTTGAGTCTCCAAATTGATGTTGTCTTTGTAAGACACGTCTTCAAATTGGAGCCACTCAATTTCATTCTTCTTCATCTTCATGTATCTTGGAAAGCAGCCACAAAGTCCACCAATTTAGTTGGAGCCTCCTGATCAAGCTTATCAATGACCATACAAGCTTTTGACAAATCCATCATTAACAAAGAAGTTTCCTTCTCAGCTAACCAGGTCTTCGTCCTTTCAGCCTCTTTATCACCAATTGCTTCATACCCTTTTACAGACTTACTAGACCCAGTCGTAAATGTGTTGAAATTTTGAGGCCCAACCACCATTGCACCAAAACTAGGCCCAATATTGTTGTAATTACGATGTCCAATCCTAATCCTGCCAAAATCGAGCCAGTTCACTCCTGAATCACGATGCCCAGTCCACACTCTTGGGAACACAGCCCCCAAATCGCTAACGGTGGCCTCAATAGTTCCGGAATTCCAAAACCATGCCTTACCTTCACTGGAATCAGCCCCAACCTTGCCGGAAACAACCTCAACAATGTCAGAATCACGAGACCCGCTCCAAATTTGGCCAGAATTTTTGAAACCAACACCAACCTCACCGGGATTAGCTTTAATGGTGTTGGAATTGCGGGACTCCACTCCAATCCCACCAAAATCTCCCTCCATAGCGCCGGAATCTCCCTCCATATCACCGGAATCAACCCCTTTCACGCTGGAATCGTGAGGCCCTATCCAAACAACAGCCAAATCGTTGAGCTCAGCCTCCGTCGCGCCGGGATCTGTCTCCGTAGCACTGGAATCAGCCCCTTTCACGCCAGAATCGCGAGGCCCGGTCCAAATCGGTCCGGAATCAGCCCCAACCGCGACCGAAACAGGGATGGGTTCCCTGTTCCGAGGGTACCCATGTCGTCCCAGCAACGGAGCAAGCCTCTCCTCCTCTAACTCCGGCTCCCACTTTGATTTCCGTTGCTGAACAAGCTCCGCCGCCCTCCTCCCATCGTCGAACAACCCCTCACGCTGTAGATCCGGACTACCCAGCACCAGATCGCAACAGATCTCGCGCTCCTCCATGAGACCCACGTCTCTCCGGCATCAGAACTCCCTCTTGCGGCATCGATCTTCGCGAATCGGCGCTTCCCGGTGAAGATCCGCCCGATTTGCCACCTCCACTCCGCCTGGGTCGACGCGATCTGGGCTTTCCTCGCCCCGAGGCGTGCGATCTCGCCTCTCCCCGTCCCGTCGTTGCGACCGAACTCGGCCTTCCCGGCCATCGGCCGCGCCGCCAACAGTGCCTCCAACCTCCGCAGCACTGCCTGCACGTCTTCCATCTGAGTCCGAACCTTCCCCACCTGGTCCCGGAGCCCCCCCGTTCTCTTTCCAGAAACCTTAAGATTAGCTCTTAGAATAGCCCTAAGTTTCTCTCTTAACTCAAAAAGCTCCATGAATCGTAGATGCTCTGATACCATTATTAGGATCCTAAGCTCAAAAGAAGTGATAAACCAGCAAGAATTCAATAAGAATCTGACTAATAATTTGTACTTCCTAAATCCAGGGGAAGGAAATCCTCCAACACCTGAACTCCCTGTATCCTCAAGATCAATCCTCTACATATTCCCCTACTCTTCTCCACCAACCCAGTACCCATGACCACCCCAAAACTGCCCGTGTCTGTCAAATGGAGGCCCAATCTGTCTATTACTCGATTGGAGATAAAATTGTGGGTCGCTCCACTATCCACCAACACCACCACATCCCGTTCGCCGATACTCCCCCTTAACTTCATGGTGTGGTTTGGTGTAAATCCCACCACCGAATTAAGTGAAACTTCGGCCACATCAAGGTGAAGATGCTCCTCCTCCAATATCTCTTCTTCCTCGGCTTCTTCCCCGCCTTCCTCGTCATCACACATAGTTAGAACGTGTAGTGTTCGGTCCTTACATCGGTGCCCGGGGGAAAATTTCTCATCGCATCGAAAGCACAACCCCTTCGCCCTCTTGTCTTGAATCTCTGTCTCAGTGAGGCGTTTGAAAGTCGCTCCCAGACATGCCCCACTAACCTGATCCTTTTGGGGCTATCTCTGAAATCCCAACGTCTGAGTTTTCTGTCCTCCCTGTGGTGTGCTGTTTCAATATGAAGAACCAACTGAATTGCTCCTATTGACTTGCTCCGCTGCATTCTTATCCTCAATCAACTGTGCCAACTCCAACGTCTCCCCTAACCCTCTCGGTCTCAGCAAACGCAGCGCCGCTCGGATCTCCGACTTCAGTCCCTTCATAAAATTTCTCTCCAACACCGCTTCTAAGATCCCCCCTAAACGACCCGATCGCAGCTCAAATTTCTCTCTATACTCCATGACCGTCCTATCCTGGGTCAGGGCAAAAAACTGTTCGTGTAGATCTCCCTCTTGAGTGGTTCGAAACCTCTCTAACAACCGGTCCTTAAATTCACCCCACGACCTCAATGGTTGTCGCTGTTCTCGCCATTGAAACCATGCAAGGGCCTTTCCGTCCAAACATAAAGCCACCGCCATCAGTTTTTCCCCCTCTGAGAGTCCATTGATGGCGAAATAGCGCTCTACCCTATACACGCATCCATATGAATCCTCGCATTCGAAAATGGGCATTTTCAGCTTCCTTACCCTAGAATCCGCCCCAAATTGAGTCTGCCCCGCCCAATTTCGCGCCATTGGAGGCCTCCAACCTCCCGATTCTACTCCACTCTCCATAAATCCGGAAGGCCCAGCCCCAAACCCTCCTTGCCCAGCCCCAAATTGAGCTGATAACCCTGCCCAGGCCCAAATCCTCCTTGCCCAGCCCCAAATTGAGCTGATACCCCTTGTCCAGCCGCAATCCCGTCATACCCGCTTCCCCTCTCACAGAAAACCCCTCCTCCCGGCCGTACGCCCCCAAATCCGCCTTGCCCAGGCCCGAATCTGCCCTGCCCAGGTCTGGATCCGCCCTGCCTAGGCCCGAAATCCCCCCAAAACGGCGCTGAGACGCCGTGCCCAGCTACCCCCGGCCTTGGTGTGCCGCAAGGTGGCGCCGAAATGCCGGACCCCGTCGCCCATAGCCCTAGGCCGCCTCCTCCAGTAGCGAAACCCTCTGATCCGCCGCCCCCAGCCGCAACCGAGCCTCCCCCGCCGCACCCAACGCCGAGGAAAGCCCCATCAAGTCGCACTTCCCTGGGCCGTCCTCCGCGCCAGCAGTTCTGCCGCAGGCCGCTGCCTTTGGCCGTGCGAAACTGGCGGTTTCCGGCCCCCCTCCCCCTGCGCCGTCGCTGACCACGGGTTCCATATCGCCGACCACGGGTTTTGTACTGCCGGACCCCTCTCCCGTTGCGCCGCTGCTCATCGCTGCTGCCGGTGGTGGGTTGAGGTGGAGCTCCGTTAATTTCAGCAACATGGCCTCAAAGGACGAAAACTGTTGTTGGACGGTGTTAAATCGCTCGTCAATGGTGGTCTTGATCGATCCAACCTCCGCTTCTAATTTCTCTTCAAGTGCGTCCACCTTCCTCGCTGCTATTGTCCCAGGATTTTGCTCTGATACCAATTTGATAGGTTTGAGAGAAGAATCAATTGAGATTAGTGTTGAATTAGGGCTTATTATTATTTAATCAAATCAATTGAAAAACAAATCATGACTTACAATTCGAGAGATAGGTCAATCTCTCATAAACTCCTAACTATTCCTAATAACTTCATAAAACTCAGCATAAGCCTAATTAACTTCCTAATACCCTCTTTATACTAAATCTTAAATCCATAAAATACCAAAAGAGTTTAATAAATATATTATTCTACAAAGACTATTCCAAAAAGAATAATTAGACAAATAATTAGACAAATACTTCCTCCGTTCAGACACGATGCCGGATTTCTCTCTGCTCTTTTTTTTAATCTGAACACTTTTCAATAATTCGCCCTTTCCTCAAAAAATTTAAAGCTGTTCTTCTCAGCTGAATCTATTATTCTCAGAGCTCTCAAGAATGGAATAACCCAAAATTGCCAGTTTTGTCCTGTATTCTATTTATAGGTGATCATGTAGTGGAAGAACCAAACGGCAAAGAGAGGGATTTCGGTGGAAAATAAAAAACAAAAAATTATAAAAAAATGAGCGTTTCTTTGACTGTAATGACCTTCAATCTTCACGAGGATCAGCCACCTGAAAGTCCTAATTCGTGGGAAAAGAGGAGAGATTTATGCTTAAGCGTGATAACCAGTTATTACCCAATGATTCTCTGTACCCAACAAGGTATTATTTCTTAACTCTACATAGATATACATTATATATATATATATATAAATGTTCACATGGATCTTCCTCATGGTTGTGATCTGGGTATTTTTTTCATTCCTGTTTTTGAGGTGGGTTTTTGTTCTTTAGGATTTTTTTTTTTTTTTTTAGTTTTCCTTCACTGAGCTACAATTTTTGGTCAATGTTTTGGGTTGAAATGCCTTTTACTATACTTTGGATAGTGTTTCTTCGTTGTTGAAATGGTCTAGGTAATGGGATAATTGTTTCAACTTTAATTTGCTATTCCAAGATTGTTTGTGATTCTAAAAGTTTGCAAGTGTTTATTTTCTTCTATTGTTTATGTTTCTTTTTCTGAGTCAATTTCTTTTTTATATTGGCTTTGGGTTCAGGAGTTAAATCACAGTTGGATTATCTTCAACAAGGCTTGCCAGGTATACTTTCCTAATGAGCTGTTAGTACTTAACTTGTGAACTCAGCAACTGGTAGTTAGAAAAATTGGCTATCAGTATATATTCTTTTTAAGCATTACTTAAATGGAAATTGATGAACCTTTAAAATGTCCAGTGTGGTACAAATTGGATTTTGCGTTTATGATTTATAATTTATATATTTTTTTAGATGAATGGCTCAAGGACAAGAATTAAGATGCTATTTGTGATGATTTCTTAACAGAGTCCACTAAGTGGACCTTCCTCATGCTCACAAAGATTGAAAAATGAAAATAATGCAATGTTTATTGGTATGGCCAAACTCCAATGCCTTATTCATGTTACCAAAATGTCAAGACCAGCTTAATTATTTTGCCTCCTTTTAATGAGCCTTGCTATGAATCTAGAGTGGTGTTTTGCTGCTAGCAAGTTGTTGGTTTCTCTTATTAGAGTTTGTGCTTTCTTATGCTGTAATATGTAAATGTGAAAGAAATTGAGGAATTCGCAAGTTTACTAAATTTTAGAATGATTCTTTCTGAGGAGTGGTTCATTCATTGACATCCAACTTTACAGACTTGACGAAATGATCTTATCCTAAAATGGGATGTTAGCTTTTGAGCAGTCGATTTGCCTTGTTCATCAGGTTATGATCAATTTGGAATATCAAGAAAAGGACCACAAGACGCTTTGGATGAACATTGCACGATCTTCTATGACAGAGAGAAGGTATCAACTATCGAGTTAAGGCATTTTACTTTATTCCCTCAATCTGGCATACTTTTCTCTTTTCTCCTTGTTCTTTATTCCCTGATATTGAAAAGTGATCTGGCATACCTTATTTATTTTTGTTATTTCGTAATGATTTTGTCCATTAATGTCCTTTTTCATGTTCTTCATCAATGAAATAAGGTGGAGTTTCTAGAAGGTGGAACGTTTTGGTTATCAGAATCACCTTCTGTTCCCGGAAGCATGTCATGGGGGGCTGCGGTTCCATGCATCGCAACGTGGGCGATATCCGCTATCATTTTTTATTTCTTTTACATGAATGGTCTTTTATATAGTCTTTTTATATTTTTGGATTGGAAGATCTCTACCTTTTGTTTCTTTAACATGATGTCCACACATTTCAACTAAAAGGAGTTGAGCCACCTGGGTTTTCATTCCAGATAGTTAATACCAACATGGATGAGTTTAGCCCTCGTGCTCGTAGACGGAGTGCTTTACTTACCTGGCAGCACATTGCTTCCTTGCCTCCTAGCTTGCCAGTTGTGTACTGTGGTGGATTTAACACACAAAAGGAATCAACTACTGGACGCTTCCTTCTTGGGAGATCAAGGTATATTGGGAACCTATTAATCTAGTTGGTGAATCTCAGTTTGCCAAATTTTCACCATGAAATTTTATTGCGTTCACATGTTGTGTTTTGAATCATCTACTTCTAGTACATCACTGTGTGCAAGGGGAGCGCGCCTGATTTGCAAATTGGTCCCCACTCAGACTTCATTTCTGACCCCTAGTTTTTGATAATCTGACTGTAGCGAGGTTAATTGTGGTTACATCCAACTATGTGCAAGAAGAGTTTTGAATGTCAGGAAAGTAAATTGAGGAAATGGTTGTCACCATAGAACTAGCCTTGTTAAAGACATTAATGCTTTGTCAATTTCTGGTTAAAAGTAGAAGTTGACTTCTGTTTTTACTTGGAGCTAAGAAAGCAATGTTTCCATTTTTTCTTTATCTGCGGGCATTTAGTTGAACCACTCTATTGGTTATCTCCTAAGCTGCAGCAACTTTATCCTTGCACTGAAAGTTTGCGTTCCCTGTACTTATAATTACCAAAAGACATTGGAGAGGACCTTTCACTTTAAGTTTGCAAAGTTTAAATTTTCACTCAATTCCATTGTTCTCCGTGTTTGTGACACGTTTTATTTTGTTTGAACTTTTGCAGCACATACTATGCTTTTTAATTCAGGAAGTTGGCCAGTTTTTTCTTCTAGTCGTTTTTTTGGTAAATATTTTCTTCTGCTTGTCCTCAGAGAGCACGGTGTGGTTGGGGATATGAGAGATGCATGGCCGAATGCCCGGGTGAGGAAAAATGTTTCTCTCATTCGCACTTATCATGGGTTTAAAGGTACCACATGTGCTCCTTTTGAAATTTCTTAACTTTGCATGATATAGCAATGGCTTAATTTAACAGTGTCCGTTGATGTCAGGAAACAAACAAGGAGCTCTTGAGTTTCTCAAGTTGATCTTTAGAGCCCTTTGTCTTTGCTGGGATCGCCAAACTCAAGATCTGCACATAGATTGGATTCTTTTCAGAGGTCGATCTCTGGTTCCCGTTTCTTGTGAAGTGATCAGCGACAACACTGACGGAGCTTACCCATCCTCCCATTATCCCCTGTTTGCCGAGTTTATGCTTCCTCGCACTGTGAGAATGATTGAACCGCCTGCTCAAGAGGAAAACTAAAAAATCCAATTGTTTTGGAGACCCTTTGGCTGTATCTCCCACATTCCTTTGCTATTATTCATTTAGTTTGTTATTCTTCTGATTGAGGGTTCACCAGAAAAGATTGTGGATATAATTTCATTTTGGGTGGTTGTATCTTTGTATTGTCTCCTTATTTTCAAGAATCAATAATTGAAGGAAATTTTCATTCACGTTTGTGATTTTAAACTTCTCATGATCTTTTATGGATTCCTTGCATTTAGACGTGAAAACTCCTGTTTTCCTTTTAGTCAATAAGTCTAGAGCCAACTTAAGAGTTCTGGTTTATACTTTTCACATTTTACCTAGTTTGAGGATCTAACCAGCTTCGTTTTTCTCGTTTCTTTTTCTCTGAAGGGTGCGTATATTGACACTACTCATTTCATTCTTATCACCCACATTTTTAAACCACCTCTCATCCTACGTTCCTCTTAAAATTTAAGAAAAGCCCCTACTACTAAATTATCCTCATTCTTCTTTTCACACACATTCATAAACCACCCTCATTTTAGTTTTTACACTCTTAAAATTTTAAGAAAGTCCCTACAACTAAATTACATTATTTTTCTTTTTTCTCGTTTCTTTTTCCTCGAAGCATGATAACCAAATGACAAAACACGATTCTAGCTGCTTTCACTCTCGTTCCCACCATTGGATCTCAGCCAATCAGTTTGATTGAAAATTGATGGATAATTTACAAAAGGACACTTTTAGGACTTAAGAAAATGACTGAGTTACTCTAGGCTCGTTTAGTTCGTTTATTCGAGTTTTTAATTCGAAGTCAATAAGTCTAGAGCCAACTTAAGAGTTCTGGTTTATACTTTTCACATTTTACCTAGTTTGAGGATCTAACCAGCTTCGTTTTTCTCGTTTCTTTTTCTCTGAAGGGTGCGTATATTGACACTACTCATTTCATTCTTATCACCCACATTTTTAAACCACCTCTCATCCTACGTTCCTCTTAAAATTTAAGAAAAGCCCCTACTACTAAATTATCTCTCATTCTTCTTTTCACACACATTCATAAACCACCCTCAATTTTAGTTTTACACTCTTAAAATTTTAAGAAAGTCCCTACAACTAAATTACATTATTTTTCTTTTTTCTCGTTTCTTTTTCCTCGAAGCATGATAACCAAATGACAAAACAGGATTCTTGCTGCTTTCACTCTCGTTCCCACCATTGGATCTCAGCCATTCAGTTTGATTGAAAATTGATGGATAATTTACAAAAGGACACTTTTAGGACTTAAGAAAATGACTGAGTTACTCTATGCTCGTTTAGTTCGTTTATTCGAGTTTTTAATTCGAATTAAAATATGATTTTATGTGAGATCTTTTTACTGTAGTAAAAAAATTAAATGTGACAGTTTTTGATAATTTTTTACTATAATAAAACTCAAATAAATTCGAATCAATAAAATGAACGGAACTTCTATATTTTTAAAAATATCCTGAACTAAAATTCGTCGTTTGATATATATGTATTCAAAAGTGGTGGTTAAACTCACCTTTGGTTTCCGCTTCCCAGAACGTGTTCCCAATTTACCAAACCGTCTCAAAATTAGTCATTTTGTCCATTTTAAAATCTCAAGGGAAAAAAGTAAAGCTTTCTTCTCAATCATTGCCCCCCAACATATAAAAGCACAAAATTTAACTCCTACTAAACTGGTTATCACATGTTCTTTTACATTGAGATTTTAATTGTAAGATGTATAAAATGACTGATTTAAGACAATTTCATATATCAGGAAATCGTTATGGGATGTTTTAAAAGACATACACTTAATAGGATTTCCTATAGTTCAAAGATTAAAAATGATTAACCCTAAAAACCGGCTATCTATTAAAACGGGTGCACGCAAAGGCCCGGAAGGAAACCAGAACTAGCGAAACAACCCAGTAATCTGTTTTGCCTAGCTCTGATCAACCTGATGCAGAAAAAATAAACTACCAAACATAATTTGTTTTACCAAACAAATATGTTCAAACAGCATCAGATTTATACTTAAACCTGATACCGAAAAAATGAAACACCAGTGGCTGCTAGTGCTGAAAATTTGGGCCGGGCTAGACGGGCAGGCCTGAAGCCCGTTACTGTGGGCCCAGGGCCCGGCCTGAATCCGTACAAGCCCGAGCCCGGCCTTAGTGCAGGGCCGGGCTGAGCCGTTATTCCAGGCCAGCAGGCAGCCCGAGCCCGGCCCGGAGAGCCCGAATAGCCCGGCCCGAAATAGCCTGAAATGGCCCGGCCCAAATGGCCCAAAGGCCTTTTTTTTTTTTTTTTTTTCTTTTACTTGTTTCTGGCCTAAGCCCAATGGTAATATTACCGTTGGGCTAACTCACTACCTCACGGCAGTGAGTCTGAAGCAGAGGGATGCAGGCCTGCAGCCCTCTGCTTTTTTTTTTTTTTTACTTGTTTCTGGCCCAAGCAGCCAAGCCCAATGGTAATATTACCGTTGAGCTGACTCACTGCCGTGAGGCAGTGAGTCTGCTTTTTTTTTTTGTTTACTTGTTTCTGGCTTTTTTTTTTTTGTTTATTTGTTTCTAGTCCAAGCGGCCAAGCCCAACGGTAATATTACCGTTGGGCTGACTCACTACCGTGAGGCAGTGAGTCTGAAGTAGAGGGATGCAGGCTTGCAGCCCTCTGCTTTTTTTTTTTGTTTTTTTTTGTTTTTTTCCCTAAAATCCCTTACTTTTATCTATAAATACCCCCTCCATTAATCTATTTTTTTTCACACAACACAACTTTCACTCTCTATTCTCTTCTTATTCTCCAAATTTTTCTCAACTCTCAATTCTCACTCACATTAATTCTCTCAATTTTGTTATTTCATTTTTGTTGAAAAAAAAATTTAGTGATTCTCTAATCTCTACTCTAGTCTCTACTTCAATTTTCAAGTCACAATTCCATTATCCATATCAAGTAATCAAGGTATTGATAAGTTTTAGAATTATAAATGTTTTAATTTTTTTATATCTAATTTATTGTGAATATTTAATTTTTAGTGTTAGCATGTATTAATATGTTTATTGTTGTTATTATTATTGTAGGAAAAAAAGTTTTGACCGCAAATTCTATAAGTGGAACTCGACACTTGAGAGATCACAGAATTAAAAGCGCTAGACTACATCAAGCCAGGACGAAGCCTACACAAACTCAACTTCAATTAAACCCGGATGGTTCGGTACTTGGTCCTATAATCCTCAAGTTGCTAGGGAATCTTTATGTTGATTTATTTCTACTTTAGATTTACCCATTAACCTTGGTGATAACCCACATTATGAAGCGCATATTCAACGTGCATATTGTCCTCAATTTCAAAAAGTTTCTAGAACTACTACTAGGAGTGATATGATTGCATACTATGAGAAAATGCGTATTGCATTAATAGCTGAAATGGGTGCATTAAAATTTTCAATTGCATTAACCTCTGATATTTGGAGTGGTAGGGCGAATCAAGATTATTTGAGCGTAGTTGCATATTATTTAGACTCTAAATGGAATGTGCAAAAAAGAATTATTAGTTTTAGACTTATGAATAGTTCACATAATGCTGACAATATTGTTGAGAAACTTGTTAGTGTTATTCAAGATTTGGTATATGAAACCGCATTATCTCTATCACCTTATATAATGCTACAGCTAATGCAAGGGCGATATTAATGGTGGAGGGACTTATAAACTCGTATAGTGGTGGAGTTTTACTTCATCAAAGGTGTGCATGCCATATAATTAACCTCATTGTCAAATCAGATATGTGTATGGTAAGTTCTACAATTGATAATATTCGAAATGTCATTTCTTGGATTCATAATTCAAACCCTCGCATTGCTAAGTTTAAGAGGTATTGTAAAGTAGAAGGTATGAAGCCTAGAAAGTTTGGTCTTGACATGCCTGTTAGGTAGAATTCAACATATATGATGTTGAAGAGTACTTTGCCATATAAAAATATTATCACTATTTTTTCAATACAAAAATGGGCAAAACAATGTTGCAGGAAGATGACTAGTTTATTTGTGAACGATTTGTGTCTTTTTTGGAGGTTTTTTATGATTCTACTGTTTTATTTTCTGGTATTTATTATCCTATTTCTCCATAGTGTTGCATCAAATTTGTGAGATTACAGACTTCTTTGAAACGTATAGAAATGATATGTTACTTAAATAGATAGTAGAAAAAATGGAAGAAAAGTTTAGAAAATATTGTTTAGCTATTATTTTGGATCCTAGAGTAAAATTATCCGGTCTTGGAAATGTTCTTTCTCATATCGGTGGCCAGTTGGACATAGATTATACTTCACAGGTTGTTAACACACGTGAGAAGTTGTTTGAGATTTATGCAATTTATGAGAACAAGTTTAGTAACTTGACAACTCAACAAACGCAACAAGATCAGCCGGCCCGCTCAAAAAAGAAGTTTTAGAATTTTATATCTTCTCATCGTGATGGCTCTAGTTCGTCATCAACTGCGACTTCGAATGTCATGCCACCACCATCAACACCAACGACGACACAATATAAGGAGCTCAATAGATACCTTGAGACAAAATTCTCGGTGATAGATGGTGCTGATAATATGACAATTTCCAAATTTTGGCATGGTGGAGGCTACAAGGTGTAAGATTTCCAGTACTTTCAATATTAGCATGTGATATCTTGACTATTTCAGTATCAATGGTGTCTTCAGAATCTACCTTTAGCACAGCTGGGAGGATAATTGAAAAAAGAAGGACTTCGTTGACTCCAAAAATGGTTGATGTGCTAATGTGTTTAAAAGATTCAGAAAATGCTTCTTTGCGAATGCAACACACAACCAAAGACAGAGATTTAATGGATCAATTTCAAAACTTATACATTGACGATGACGCTTCTGATGTCGGGAGTAGTATAACAGGTAGTTAGATATTTTTGTTTTTTAAGTATATATAAATTGTAACTGTGAAAATAATACTATACTCTTTTTTCCTTACAAAGGTTTTATCCTAATGAGTTTTTCTTAGTAAGGTTTTTAATGAGGCAGTTATAATTACATAAATAAAGTCTTATTCTATTAAAATTTTACAATATTCACTATTTATTAATTTCGTTATTTTTTTTAAAATTTTTATAAATCATGCTCGGACTGGTCCGAGCTGATTCGGGCCGGGCCGAGCTGAGTCGTCTGTTTTGCCAAA